ATGTGGAACAGCACACTTTAGCCAAATATCTGATGGAGCTGACTCTCATTGACTATGACATGGTGCATTATCACCCTTCAAAGGTGGCAGCGGCTGCATCCTGCCTGTCCCAGAAGGTTCTGGGCCAAGGAAAATGGGTAAGTGTTGGGTTAAGAAGAAATTAGGTTATATTTTCGGCCCCCTTGTTATGAAAGGCCTTAGCATTTTCACCACACTATCCTCGAGGCAATGGTTAAAATCCAGAGACCTAAAAGAAGGCTGCTTGGGATGCTTCAGGCAGAGATGAGGCAACCACACAGCATAGCACCAAGTGTGCTCTAGAGTTGTGAGGCCTGAGCCAGGCGGCCGGCAACTGGTGTGCTAAGGTTTCTGGGATCTTTGCTTAAGTGAAACAAGCAAGTCATCAAGCATCTAAGACAAAGCAAGGCCAAGGCCTGACCGATTTCGCCACTAAAGGTAAAAGGAGCCACTTTTACATTCAAACAAGTAGCCAAAGCTGCCGGCAATCACACACCAAAAAAGGACAACAACCGAAACAAAAGGGACCAGATGACTGCAGTGTGAGTCGTGGGACACCCTTTTGTGGAAGAGCTAATTCTAGACTGCCACTAAGCAGTGTTATAGTCTGTAGATGTACCCCAAGAGCAACAGAACGAAAGCCTCATCACAAACCAGGTGTTAAGAAACAAGTCTCATGATAGCCTCTCAGGGGAGATTCAGAAGGGAATGCGAGCCCTCCTCCCACACCCCTGTCCTCTCGTGTTCCAGGAGGATCACAGAGCATTTTGCCAAGACAGATAAGCTGTGGTTCAGGCTTTTGCCTGGGTGGCCCTACGTAGATACGTGTGAGATTGTCAGGGCACCATGGCAGAACTCTTCCTCTACACAAGTGTATACATTTGACATCTTCTATGAGAAAGAAGGAGAATAAGAGAGTGTGTATATGTGTGCTTATGTATTTTCTAATTTTTCAAAAACTACACGTAAACCAGAAACTAATGAAAATGATACCTGTGGGGTTGGGTGGGAGCAGGGTAGAAGGCTGAGGATGGGAACAGGACTTCTGGTTGTAACTTTTTATCAACTGTGTACAGTATAACGTTAACTTTTTTGGCTTTTGAACAGTATGAGTGTTCATATATTGAACAATATGAGAGTCCCTAAATGGAATTAAGCAGAAACAACAATGTCACTATATATCAAATTGGTAACAACACAGAGGGAAGAATTAATTCAAATAACTTTTGAAGGCAGTATTTGGACTGTGCATCCTTACTGGTATGCAGCTAGACAAAACAAAGGACCAAAAGAGGTAACAGACTTCAAGTTTACTTAGGAGCTGTATTGTTAGTAGTGTTCTGTTATTATAATTGCGAGACTATTTTTATGAATATTATAGGATAAAACAAACATTCGTGTTACCAAAAACTAAAATTTTCACTATAAAAAGAGAGAGAATATATTGTTAACAATTAAAAACAAAAGGAGGCGCACCTGGGTGGCTCAGTCGTTGAGCGTCTGCCTTCGGCTCAGGTCATGATCCCAGGGTCCTGGAATCGAGCCCCGCATGGGGCTCCCCACTCGGCAGGAAGCCTGCTTCTCCCTCTCCCACTCCCCCTGCTTGTGTTCCCTCTCTCGCTGTCTCTCTTTGTCAAATAAATAAATAAAATCTTTAAAAAAAACAAAAAAAAAGGAAAACACCTATAACATTAAATCTGTTTTCAAAATGTCAGTAAATTAAGAACGAGAGGGCCTGGAAACAGTGATAATCCTGTAGCAATGAACACACCCAGTGCCTACATCTTGGATACTAAATGCCATTACCCACTAAGAACTAGGTCTCCTTTGAGAAACAACTGAGATCTGGGCCGTGGCAGAGGAAGTATAAGGTGAGCCTAGGTCAATTTGTAATAGATACTGAGCACGTTCTCAACGATCTATGTCAAAAGGACATAGGAACCGGCTTGAAAGGGTTCTGACTAAATCTGAGCTTTAAAAAAGAATAATGACAGTAATAGATTGTAATGCAGTTTTTAAAAATCCATGCATTTATAATGACACGGAAGAATGGAAGGGGGGCTCTTTTTTAATCAGTAAAATACCAGCTAATTAAGGCAGAAAGAATGGTAGAGTTAGAAATCAAATTGTTAACTCCTGATGTAATAACTGATTCAAGCGAGAATCTACTGATGCTTATATCATTAGGTGAAATTGTTTTGGAGAACAAGATTCACATGGTCTCAAAATATGACCCCACAGATCTGTAGTAATTCTGAAGAAAAACCGTACCTTTGTGCTAGAGAGGTCTGGCAGTTACCACCTTAACCTGGTGGTCAACCTTGGCATCACCAGTGGCGGTACTACCTGACTTGACGTGTCTTCTGGTACAGTAGGACGTATACATGATTGCCTATATGAAATTCTTTTTTTTTTCTTTTTTTTAAGATTTTATTTATTTATTTGAGAGAGAGGATGAGAGAGAGAGAGCACGAGAGGGAAGAGGGTCAGAGGGAGAAGCAGTCTCCCTGCTGAGCAGGGAGCCCGATGCGGGACTCAATCCTGGGACTCCAGGATCATGACCTGAGCCGAAGGCAGTCGCTTAACCACCTGAGCCACCCAGGCACCCGCCTCTATGAAATTCTTGCCCAAAATGTTTGACACGAATCCAATCATCAGGAAACACTCAGATTTAAAATGTGGGACGTTCTAAAAGTAACCGGCCTGGATCCTTCAAACAAGTTGTCATTTAAAGCCAAGAAAATAGGAGTCGTTTTTAAATTAAAAAAAATTAAAGACCAGCTACACGGCAGGTACCTTGATTGGACCTGGATCTAAAAGAAAAATCTGTACAAGATATTTTTGGAACAATGGGAGACATGTGAATATAGACTATGTACTAGCTGATAGTGTGGAGATGTTGATGTGTTTTCTGAGATAATGGTCTGTGGCTAGATGGGAAAATACTTCTTAGGGATGTTTTTGAAAATTTAGATGTGATGTGTCATGGCGTCTGCAACTCATTTTCAAATGGTTCAAAAATTGTGCGTGAATACATACATATAGAATTTTTGCTGAACCATTTGAAATTGAGTTAGTTGCAGACACCATGAGAGGGAAAGTGGCAAAATGTTAATAATAGATGAATTTACACAAAGGATATACAGATATTCACTATAATATTTCAGTTTTTCTGTAGATTTGAAATTTTTTGAAATTAAAAGCTTGAGGCAACAAGGCTGCTGATACATGAATGATACATGGTCCTGATACCAGGGGCTCATTTTAACTAAATTACTTTACTCTTAGACCTGCCTTCCTTGGGCTCTAAACCTATTAACTGCAGGTCTCCCTGGTTTCTGGGAATTGATTTCAAAAGGCCAGTAGTTGTGTGTTATTTCAGGATTACTCTTGCTTCGTACTTTTTTTCTTTAAACTATTTTAGGACTAAGATTAAATTGTGATTTATTTTCCCAATCATATTGTGCATATGAGACAGATGTATTTTAGCCTTTAGAATTTTATCACGGAACTGAAATAAAGTCAGGTTACATATCTTCATACATGATAGGTCTTATTATCAATCAACAACTGTCCTGTTGCTCAATTTTTGTTCTCTGGGAGGCTAGGTCAGAAGGTTGGGGGTAGAGGCTTCTCTCTTCTCTGTTCTCCAGTGCTTAACTACACAGGGCCCAACAAGAGAATCCTGGATTTCATAGATTAGCTTGCCGCCTGCGGCCCAGTTTATCTCTTAATTCTGAACCTCTTTCCCTGACTGACAATATGGGTGTCTGGGCTCTCGAGCTCCTCACCAGCCTCTGCCCAGTAGGGCTTTGATTGGGTGGGGGGTACATGTGAGATGTGCTAGTCCTGGGTCTCTGCCAGTCCTGTGAAGGGGACATTCCTTTGTTGGGTTTTGTTTTTACTCTGTCGTGCTTTCCATCCCCTTCCAGTGTGGTGGGAGAGGTTAGTGTGAAAGCTTTGTTACTTGGAGTACCTTCCATACCTGTGCAACCTTCTTTAAAAATTAATAATACGGGACCTTTGACACTTGATTTAGCTGAAGCTGCACAGCGTCTTAATTTAGTCTTGCTCAGAGCCAAAGTCATCTTGCATTTGCTGGCTGCTTTGCTGGGACCACGATAGTGTTTAGGGCTGTTGTGGAATTTTCAGAAGGTAAGAATATCATTTTATAGCTTTTACGTAAGTGGTAAGTGATGTCAACGTGCATCAGATATGCTCTTCTAAAGAAGCGGAGGCTTTATCTTGCCCCTTCTCTTTGCATTGCGTTCCAGAACTTAAAGCAGCAGTATTATACTGGATACACAGAAAATGAAGTATTGGAAGTCATGCAGCACATGGCCAAAAATGTAGTGAAAGTTAATGAAAACTTAACAAAATTCATCGTAAGTACTCCTTCCTACACTGAAAAGCATTAGAATATGGGTTTTGTGAGTGAGGGTATGCATATGTATGTGCGTTTGCATTTTCATAGAAATGTAATACGTTTGTGAGAGTCTGTTGTAGCACAAACTTTTTTCTCGTACAGCAGGGGATGGAGCATACGGATATACCCCACAAGCAGACTCTCTTTAAAACAAGGTAGCTAGGCTAACCGTGTCCAGGCCCAGTGTAGTCAGCCAGACAGCCATTCCATGCCTCTACCCACACTCGTCCCGGCGTCCTGGGGAGGGCACGCAGCAGTCAGGGCGGGTGCTCACTGTGTCGTCTGGAACCCCTTAAATGGCCCTGTGGAAGGCTTGGGGACTCGGGGCCTCTGTCCAGGATCTTCTGGGACAATGGCCAAGAGGCCCCCGAATGCAGGCCTGGTGAAGAAGGAGGGGCAAGAAGCCCATTCAGAAAGCTTCCTGGGGGCCTGGTGTCTGTCTCCGTGTGGCCCACCTGAGAGGTGGAGGCAGAGCGGATGGGGCACTATCCCGTGCTTGTGTGACACCGAATATCACCAAGGATCTGGTGACAAAGAGCAAGGCATTTGTGCCAAGTGTCCTGACAACCTGCCTTGCTTCCTTACATGTAGCTTCCGCGTAATTTAGCGCACTGCGGAAGTGTGAGGGTATTGTCGTCACCTGAGGGTATTGTCTGGGATCTGCTAAGCACTGGTTGCCACTTGGCTTTTATTGCCATTGTTGCTGCCTGTCCTGGCAGACCTGTTATGGCCTGGTGGCACTTAGGTCTGATAAACACAGCTCCCACCGCCCACCCCTCTGGCAGCATAGGAGAGAGAGCCCACTCCTTGGACCTTGACATCATTTCTTACCCCTCACCAGTGCTACCAGCTGGGTTTTATCCGGTGCTGGGCATGGAAGGAAATTGTCAGGTGTCGCACATTATGACCTCAGGGCGCTCGCTGGCTTCAGTGAATCGCCATCATCACACCAATTGGAGATTGTGGGTCTGGCCCCTAAATACTTGTTAGACCAGGAGTGAAGTAGAAGGTGGGGGTCCTGATGTGTGCTTAATCACAGATGACTTCTGCAGGCCATCAAGAATAAGTATGCAAGCAGCAAACTCCTGAAGATCAGCACAATTCCTCAGCTGAACTCAAAAGCCGTCCAAGAGCTTGCCTCCCCTCTGATGGGACGGCCCTAGGCTGCTGTGGCCCTCGGGGAAGAGTGCTCCAACTGTGCATTTGGTCTCGCTGATCTGGAGCTCTTCACTTTGTATATAGTCCTCTGGTCTATTTCATGAAACCTTTCCTTAGGCCTATTTTCTAAAATGTATATTGAGGAAAAATAAAGCTATTAATTTTTCTTAAAGTATCCTGTGTGTTTTTTATTTATGCAATCTATACTGAACAAGGTCAGTAGAAGCTTGGTTTGACTAATTTCTTTTTGAGCTGTTATGAGTAGCATGTAAATTATTGCCTTTGTGGCTTTGGGAGAGAACTTCCTACCATTTTCTCAAATGGAACAAACTAGAACTTGGCTTCAGTGATTGCTAACCCATTCCTAAACTTCTGAAATATACAAAGATTGACTCATTATGAAAATTGAAAATGGGAGGATAACCATGACAGTTCTCTTTCTAGAACCTACTCAACTATCTTCTCATTCCTACACAGGAACGCCTGGTCCACTGGGGTGAGGGCCACCAGAAGCAACCCTCATAATGTGTCTGTGTCTCAAAGGCATGGTGGGACCAGGAATGTCAGTCCTAAAGGACCACCGCTGGAAAACGAAAATGGGCCTGCGACACCTTGTTAGAGTTGAAGGTTGGAATGCATTTTCCTATTTCAGCCACCTCGTAGGTTATTATTTGTTACTATTTTTTGGCGGGCAGTTGATCACATTTAACATTATTTTCTAAGGGGGAATGCATTCTCGGTCTCCAACCACTAACTTAAAAAAAAAAAAAAAAAATCACCACCATAAAATAAATGAGTGCCTTATAGCAACAACTTCCCAAACTATTAGTTCAACACATGCTAATTGCTTTTGGCGAGAAAGGAGCTAGTCAAATACATTTGGGAAACACTGCAACTCACTTTAAGATTCATACAGGCTCTGAGAAGCTTTGCAGTAAATTCCTTTCTTCCCCCAGTCGAGAGTGTGGTAAAGCTGCCTTGTGTGGGGCAGCGAGGTCTGCGGGTGCTGGTTCTGGGACGCAGCTGTGGCTTGTGACTGGCCTGGGGGGAGAGCCTGGCTGGCTCCAGCTAGGGCTCGCTCCCCATCTCTCCCTAGGCAGGTCAGGGCCGCCTACAGAAGTCTGTAGGTGCTAAGCGCTCAAGCACAGGGAACCTGGAAGCTGTGTATGTTGAAGTCCTGGTGTAAAGCTTCTGAGTGTCCCTGCTTGAACGAGACTTGTTTCCATGGCGGCCTTAGACTGACTTGGGTCACACGTGAACAGCAATGAAGTGAGACCATGCAGGGATCTTTCCTGGCTCTGAAAAGCCAAGTTATTGCCCAGGGATGCTTGAGCTCCAGCTTCTCATCAAGAAGGGATGGGTTTTGTAGGAATATTCTGAAGACGTTTTATAGCTTCCTTGTTATATATTTTGCTTAGTTAAATATTAAATAGCCTGATTCAGGAAATTCATACTTCCAGAATCTCATAAAAAAAAAAAGACCTTTCAGATACTTCCTTATGTGCCACAGCAGGCACCCAAAACTAAGTGTTATAAATGTGCAATAAGCTGTAAAAGTAGAAATCATAATATCGTAAAAACGCTGAAATTAGAAAATGAGATGATGTAACCACAGTATTTGAAGAGCACAGATCCTGAAGCTGGATTGCATGGGTTGGAGTCTCGTTAGCGGCTGTGGGATCTCCGTGCCCATGTCTGTGGGGGAGAGTGGGGGTCCGAGCATCTCCCTCGTAGTGTTGGAGTACTGAGAAAGGTATGGCAAGCCCTTAGTGCCGTGTCTGGATGTGCTCGAATGTTAGTGGCTGTTATTTTAAGGAAGTTGATGGTCTTGGAAAGAGATGGACTCTGGGCATTCAAAGATATGTTAGATACCGCCCTTGCCCGTCAAATGAGTTTGCAAATTTAAAGCTGTGGAGTCTTATTTGTGAGTTTTTCTTTTTTTTATTTTGGTTCTTGATTATTATTTTTTTGGTTCTTGTTCTTTGAGAAAAGTATAATTGGAAGTGGGAAGGTTGACAATTAGACTATCAAACTCCTTGATATTAGCTGGATTGAAGACAGAGATGAAAAGCACAGGCCTTGGGGGTCAGATCAGGGGTCAAATGATGGTTCCTCTCCTTATGAGCTACGTGACCTGGGCAAGGGAGTGAACTGTACTGAGCCTTCTTGCGAGTGGTTTTAGACGAGGCCATGCCTGTCGGAGGGGCAGGTACAGTACTGTAGGAGGGAAAGGCGTCCAGTAGCTGGTAAGAGTAAAATAAGCTAATTCAGGAGCAGCTGTGAAGGCCAGCGAGGCCTTGGGAGAAACCCAAAGTGAGGCAGCAAAGGGAGCGAGCGACGTAGCAGAGTGGCTCCCACTCTTTGACCATAAAAGTGAAGGGAACCGGGGAAAGCAGTAGGTTCTCCCCAGAAGATGCATCCCGGGCACGTGGTGCTCCTGAACCCGGACCCTGCCTCCACCTGCCGCTGAAAGCACTGTAAAAGCGGCCGGTAGAGGCAGGGCCAGTCTCGTCTGCCCAGCTGCACGCCGGGGAGGGCTGCGGAGTTTGCAGGGAGTCCGGATTCTGTACAAGCCCTGCTCCATGGCGCGCCAGTGGAGGTCGTCAGTTACGTGGGCACACAGCCATGTTGTGGAGGTCGTCAGTTACGTGGGCACACAGCCGTGTTATCTCGCACTTGTTCTCGTGGACTTCTCTGCCTGGAAGGAGGAGGAAGATCTCTCGCTGGTGCCCTGGATAAACTGCTCTCTGCGCTGAGACTTGCTGTCCCCAGCAAGAGACTCCCAGCTTCCCCGGCAGTTGAGGCCCCCATGACTAAGTTCCAGCTACTAGACTGTGAGTGGACATGGTGTGTGCACGTTGTAAGGAATGTTCTTTAAAAAAGAAACTGCTTCTCATCCCCTTTCTACCTTCATAGGGCTGGACTTGGTAATGGTGGTGAGTCACGTTTGATCAGATGGGCTGGGACAACACGTGTGCATGGTTTGCACGCCTGTTGGCAGAACAGGTTATAAGGCCTCACCCTTTGCCCTCTCCATGGGCATTAGTCTCGCTTCCCAAAGCCTTGGGGAAGAGATGGCCCTTTCACATGATGTTTTCAGAGAGCCAGCTGCACCCCCTGTTCATTAGCACTTAGCCCCGCTGGTGGTTCTCAAAATGTGGCCTGGGGATCCTCGAGACCCCTTGAAGAAGCCCCCGAGGTCAAAACTATTTTCATGCTAAGACTAGGATGTTGCTTTTTCTCATTCTTGTCTGTCCTTAATGTGTGGTGCAATCTTCCAGAAGCTACATGACATGTGATGATGTCCTCACTCTGGTGGTTAGTAGACTCTATGTTTTTGGTGTTTTCAAAAATTTTGTTTGAATTTCTAACATAGTAAATACCAATAGCTGTACGGACAAAAGCAGAACTCTCTGAGGTTTTCAATAATATTGGAGTGTAAAGGGGTTCTGAGGCCAAAGGGTTTGAGAACTGCTGGTCTGCTACTCGTTGAACATCTCTGTCCGAGGGGACGTTCAAGCCTGCTCAGCGTGCTCGGTTACTTTAAACCTCTGGTTGAAGGGATCGCTCACATCCTTACACTGCGTTTTCTGCTGCTGAACATGTGTGGTGTATGTGCACAAGCACACCATCATCCCAAACAGGATGGCGTGTTCTAGAAGGCAGGGGTGGCCCCTTGATCCTCTTTACATACAGTCTCCCAGGTGGTTACTCTTGACCTAACGGGGAACAAAATGGCCGGCCTGGCTAGATGCGAAGCCAAGAGAAACCTAGGATCATGACTTCAGTGAATTTACTCCCCTGTTTAAGCAACGTTGAGGACCTCCTCGAGCCTGGCACTAGGTAAGGCACATGGGTGCAGGGCTGGGGCTTGCTCTGTGACCCCCACGAGCCGGGCTGTTCCCACTGCTCGTGTGGATGTTAGACTCTGTCCCTATGTTGTCACCTAGAGCCTGAGGGGTCCCAGTTACACACCAGTTTTAAAGGCCCATCATTAAATTAAAAGCAGCCAAGATTGATCCCATTTTTTAATGCGTAACATTAGGAAAATTATGTAAAGCCAATAATTTTTGAGTGTAGCTGACACACAATGCTGTAGTAGGTTCAGGTGTACAACTTAGTGATTTGACAAGTTCATACATTATGCTGTGTTCACAAGTGTAGCTGCCATCTCTCATGACCTCACTATTACAATGTCATTGACCGCATTCCTTATGCTGTGCCTTTTATTCCCAGGACTTATTCATTCTATGGCTGGAAGCCTGGATCTCCCACTCCCCCTTGCCCATTTCGCCCATCTCCCTACCCTACCCCGGCCCCCCCTGCCCCCCACCATTTCTCTGTATTTATAGGTCTGATTCTGTTTTTTTTTTTTTCCCCTAGATTCTACTTATGAATGGAATCATATGGTGTTTGTCTTTTCAGCCTGTCCATGTTGTCTCAAGTGGCACAACCTCATCCTTTTTTTGAATACATTTTTATTTAAGGAATTTTGCAAGTGATTCCTTCCACTGCCCAAGGTCACCTTAGTTCCTCCAAAGCTTGAGTTAACATTTATCCTCAAGATAGGCCTTTTCAAAATAACTTATACTTAATTCAGGCTGTCCTGTCACTTGGCCCCAAATTCTTTTTTTTTTTTTTTTTTTAAGATCCTGAGATCATGATCTGAACTGAAATCAAGAGTTGGCTGCTCAACCAACTGAGCCACCCAGGCGTCCTGGAACCAAACTATGCTTTAAACATTGTTGTTGTTCTGTTCTTGAACACAGAATTAAGTGGTTTACTTTGTTCTAAGTTCAGATACATTTTTTTTTCCTTATATGTAACCCCTGATAATTTTTCCCCTGGACTCAGGAAACTTGGAATGACAAAAAGGTGTGTGCTGGTCAAACCCTACTTTCCCAATAGCTTCAGAAAGGCCGAGGCAACCAGGAGAAGGAGAGGCAGAGAAGTGACCGTCTCCCCCGAGAACCACTGCCTCATTGACAGACATTCCATCGTTTCCGACTTTTCACTATTACTGCAATAACCACCGCACTGGCCTGCTAGGCTCGCCTTCACAAAGTGCCACCGACTGGGTGGCTTACCGACAGAAACGGACTGTCTTCCAACTGTGGAACCTAGAAGTTCAAGATCTGCTGCGTGTGGGTAAGGCTGGTTCCTCCGGAGGGCTGT